ATGATAGAACAAATTAGTGAAAAGAGAAAAAAAAGAAAAAAAAATAATCGAGAATGCAAATTTTCTTTTTACACTTACATTTTATATTCATAGATTCAGTATACATACACGTGTATGTTTATCACGAATAAAATAAAATAAATGATTGATACAAATAGAATATTTTTGCACTTGTAATCATCGCGTCATTTATGTATCTATTATGTCGAAATAGTTGGAAAAAAAGTAATGAACGAAACTAAGAAAAAAAGGAAAAAATATTTGCGATCATTAAATTTTCTTGTTACGTGTGTATGTATGCGTGTATATATATATATATTATATATATATATATATATATATATATATATATATATATATAATGTATAGATAATATTTATGTAAATCGAAATGGTAGGACAAAATGTTAACCAGAAAAAAAACAAAAAAATAATCAAGGACGCCAAATTTTTTTTCTTGTCTCTGTGTAAGTACGTTTAAACGTGATATAAATATGTATTGTACATATGTTCGAATAAAATGAATTGAAATGTTAACAGAATATATTCACGTATGAAATCATCAAATCGTTTAAATACTCAAATAAATATTGTAAAAGAGAAAGTATTATATTAAACAAACCAAAAAAAAGAAAAAACAGAAAAACATTAGAGAAAGAAAATATTATGATAGCAAATTGATCGGGAATGTTCGCCTTCGTTCTTTTGCGTTCTTAAATACAAAGTGAAAGACCGCAACGTTTTAAACCGCGTTCTTCGCTAATGAATCGTGTGATTACCAAAATAAACAAATTCGAATCTTTGAAAATACCGAAATGGCTTCGTTAAAGACGATCTACTTTCGTTAGCGACCAATCAGGATCAGTTTTGATCGACCCTTATCTCTCTCTCTCTCTCTCTCTCTCTCTCTGTCTTTTTTCTTCTTTTTCATTACTCAGTGGCTTTTAACTAATAACTTCAAACGATCCTTCTGGATCTCATATCATGATCTTTTTACTTATCTTATCTATTTCAATCTTAATAAATATTATCTATAGGAATATATTTATACGTATATATATTTACATATGTATATATATATATATATTAATCCTTAAAAATTATAAATATTATGATAAAATAGATCGGAAAAAATTCCAGTAAAAAGGATTTAAGATTCGAAAATCATTTATCGATTTTTCATTTTATATATATATATATATTCTTTTTCTTTATCTTTTTTTCTTTGTAATTAATTTGATTAATTGAATTGATTTAATTGAATTGATAAGATAAAATACATAAAGATCGATAACGAAATAATCGATTTGTATTTCTGAAAGATCTAATCAAACGTAATGTGCATTACGACTTGAATCATTAATCGATATGATATATTAAGTTAATAAATTTTGATTAGTTTTCCTCGATTTACGATAATCTTAATCAATTTCTATGATCATTCTTTGATAGTATCATTACGATTTAACGATCCACAAAAGTGAAATGTGTGCGTAAACTTTAACTATAGTAAGCGAGGACGACGACGTTCTTCGAACTTTTTTTTTCTCTCTCTCTCTCTCCCCTCTCTTTGTTTCTTTCTCTCTCTCTCTCTCTCTTTTTTATCTATTGCTTGGTAATAATAATAATTAACATGGAAAGCGCGGAAAGCTGTAAAATTTTAACGATTGTCTCTAAACGGCTCGTAAAGCGTGCATACGTGTGCTCGTGTCTTGAGAAATCGCCCATCCGAATCCAAAATATACAGAATCGCATTGGAAAGTTTCTAATTTGCATTAAAAAGAAAAAAAAAAAAAAAAAAGAAAAAAGATGCAAGAAAAGAGTTTAACGATTGATTTTCGAGGAAGGGCAATCGAATCGGAAAACAAAGATGAAAAGAGAAAAATCGCTATTGCAAACTTTAAGAAATAACGATATTTTTTAATGTTGTGGAAAAATTAAAGAAAAGAAAAAAAAAGGAGAGGGACGGTAAGAAATCGAAAGGATTTTACCATTTTTTTTTCTTTCGTTTTCTTCCCTTTTTTTCCTTTTTTCTTTTTTTTTTGTCGAGAAGTAAAAGGTTCTTAAAAGAAATTAGAAAACTACATAAGACCGAGTACTTGAAAATGGTTTTACAGAAGTTTCAAAGAAATAAAAGATGAATATATATATATATATATATATATATATATATATATATATATATATATATTTATACGATATAAGATAATTCGAGATTTTAGGTTGGATCCACTCGTAAAGTCGTTAAAGAAATAACATTTTGGATGCGGTTATTAGATTTCCGAAAAAAGAAGAAGAAGAAAAAATAAAAAAAGAAAAAAAAAGAAAAGCAAAGAAAAAAGAGAAAACCTTCCTTGAATTCTGTCTATTTTCTTACCTATTCCCATTTCTTAATCTAGTTAACACGAAACTTATCGATAAGTTAACATTATAAAAACCATTTCAATATTTATAATAATCATTTGTTATAATTCTTTAAATACAATATATCCTCGATAAATAATATTCAATTGAAGATTTACATTATCGTATGACAGGGATTAATATGTAAAATTATCGACATAAAAAATACAGTCTTAATTTGTGATAACTAATGTCCAACATGGTTTTCGGTGTAGCTATGTCAAAAATAACGTAAGAAATTGTTATCAAATGAATATTTTGTTTACTTAAGAAACTTTTTATATGAATATTTTACCTACTTTAAGAAACTTACCAAATGAATATTTTGTCTACTTAAGAAACTCTTTCCAAAACATGTGGGTGAAGACTCTCTCTCTCTCTCCCTCTCTTTCTCTCTCTCTCTCTCTCTCTCTCTCCCTCTCTTTCAGTCTCGGTCTCTTTTTCTTTTTCTTTCTCTTTCTCCCTTTCTAGAAGACTTCGTTCCGCAGTCTATTACGTCAGGAACAGAGAAAAGTGGTCGGTCGTTGAATAGCCGGTGTTTTACAACAGTGGCGAGAGTCGAACAACCCTCGTGGCTTTGTCGAATCGTTCCTCGCTGCGCGAAATGTACCTGTGGTAAACGTACCGACTACCGTTTGCCCCCACCTCTACACCCTTTTTTCTCTCCCTCGCACTCTTCTGAACGGTCGAGTAGACCTCGAGGGTCCGTGGAATGAAAGAAAAGAGAAGGGAAACACCGTAAAGAGTTAACTTACTGTAAAATGAACCATCGTCGAGCTTAAGACTCGTTGAAACGAGATGAGACGACGACGGTGAGACAGAAAGAGAGCGAGAGCAAGAGAGAGAGAGAGAGCAAGAGAGAGAGAGAGAGAGAGAGAGAGAGAGAGAGAGAGAGAGAGAGAGAGAGAGAGAGAGGGAAAGAAAGAGAATGAACTAAATTCCGCAAATCTCCTTATACTTTGATTTTTTATTTTTCAACGAAAACTTTTTGTCTTATTAGACGATTAATTTTGTGTATTGAAAATTTGTTTTACTTTTGATTTATTATACCTTTTCATAATTCGACGAAATCTTTAAGTTACGTGACACTTAACGAAATACAAATTAATCTTCGAAAATCTTGACGATTTGTAATGGAATAACAGTAAATAAGTCTCCTTAAAGACTTTGAGAATTTAATTTATTGTAAAATGGATCATCGTCGAGTTTAAGGCTCCTTGAAACGAGATAAGACGAAAGGTAAAACCGAAAGAGAGAGAGAAAGAGAGAGAGAAAGAGAAAGAGAGAGAGAGAGAGAGAGAGAGAGAGAGAGAGAGAGTGAGAGAGAGAATTAACTAAATTCCGCAAATCTATTTATACATTGACTCTTTATTTTTCAACGAAAACTTTTTGTCTTATTATACGATTACTTAAGAGTATTAAAAATTTGTTTTACTTGGTTTGATTTGACCGTATTAACACATAATTTCTTTTAATCTTTAGGTACGTGCATCCTAATAATGCACAAATCAATCTTCAAAAATCTTGAACGATTAATAATTATATTTATTTGATAATATCTTTAAAAATCTTGACAATTTATTAATAAAATAATGGCAAATAAATGTTTATTGAAGACTTCAAGAATAAATTTATAATAAAATGGATCGAGTTTAAAACTCGTTGAGACGAAATAAGACGTAGCCGAAATTAAATAGCGCGAATTTAATTATACCTTTGTTTTGAATTTTTCAACAAAAATTTTTTTATCTTGCTACTCAGTCAAGCTTCTCTTTCCATCGAGTAATTAAAAATTTGTCTTACTAATTGCTATATTATCACATAATTTGACATCGTCTTTAGTTACATGCATCTTAACAGCTCATAAATTAATCTTTATTCTGGTATCTTTAAAAAATCATCTTAATGATTCGTAACGCGATAACAGTAAATAAATCTGCAAAGACTTACGAGATTTAATTTATTGAAAAATGGATTATAGTTGAGTTTAAAACTCGTTGAAATGATATAAGACGACGGCCAAAGATCGAAAGAGAGAGGGAACTAAATTGAGCAAATCTAGTTACGCTTTGACTTTGAATTTTACCCCGAAACTTTTCATCTTACTAAGATATAGTTATCTTCTAAGTATTGAGGGTGTGTATAACCGATTTCAAGGATCAAATATAATCTCATAATTTAATATCATTTATATAAACCATACGTCTTAGAATAGAAAAGAATTAATTAAAAAAAAAAAAAAAAAAAAAACATATATATATATATTTATATATCCAATAGCCATCGACGATTTGTTATGCGAATGAAACAAATCCTTTCTTATCGTAATACAGTTACACCTATCTATCTATTTAATTTCAAACGCTGAATGAGGACAATGGATAACGATGAGATAATGAAAAAAAAAAAAAAGAAAAAAAAATAAAAAAAAATAAAAAAAAAAAAAGAAAAATATATAAAAGAAAAAATAAAAAAAAAAAAAGAAAAAAAAAGAAACGAAACGAACACGATCGTTTCGATTAAATAAATAAATATATCTAATTCGTCGTCAAATATCATAACCTAAATCACAAAACGAAAATGAGGATGAATTCTCACCTGAGGACACATCTTGCACTGGTACTTCCTCGGCGGATGCGAGTGAGGTCCACCGAGATGAGGGTTGAGATGAGACGGATGAGATGGCTTCACCGTTAGAGGCTGAGGAACCACCAGTAGACTCGCCGGGGGACTGCCGCTGCTAGATCCACCGGCACCGCGATACTGATCTTCCCCTAAAACAAAAAAAAGAAAAGAAAATTGGAAATGAAGGAAAAAAGAAAAAAAAAAGCAAAAAAGAACACGTGAACGTAATACAACAAATTCAAGCGCTAATCTGTTACGATTTGTTATCGTCTAACGTACATACGTTTCTTACGAAAAAAAAAAAAAAAAAAAAAAAAAAAACTCCCGAGTAACTATTTATCAAATCGTCGTTCCTTCTTCCTCGCTCGTAATAATACGAAAAGAGAAGAAGAAGAAGAAGAAGAAGAAGAAGAAGAAGAAGAAGAAGAAAAAAAAAATAAATAAATAAATAAAAAAAAAAGGGAAAAAATTTCTTTGATAACGGGAAGAAACGACAAGAAAAACGAAAACAACAAAAAAAGAAAACAAAAGAAGAAGAAGAAGAAGAAGAGGAAATGAAAGGACAGAGAGAGAAAAAAAGAAAGAAAAAGAAAGCAAACACTATCGAATACGCGAAAATATACGTGTCAGTTACTTCATATATAGTTGACTCTTAGTTAGGATTTACCGTGGCGGCTAACGACAGATAATTAACGCAGAAGTAGGCAGTTACGAATTAGATGCAGTGACGAGCGCGCGAGCGCAATAACGCGCGCCGTGTGGATGAAAGAGCCCGAGAGTAAGAATGAGGAGAAGGAAGGAGGAGGAGGAGGAGGGGGGGGAGGAGGAGGAGGAGGAGGAGGAGGAGGAGGAGGAGGAGGAGGGATTGAGAGGAGGTTGAGGTTGAGGTTGAGGAAGAAGAGAAGGAGAAGAAGGAAAAGAAGAAGGAGAAAGAGAAAGAGAATGAGAGGAGAGGGAGAGAAGACTGACGCAAGAGAACGCCGTGCAAGGGGCAAGGATCCTGCAGGTTGCAAGGACGAACGATCCGCTATTACGAATACTCGTTATTAAGTCGGAACACTCAATATCGATCGTTGTGTGAATGTGTGTGTGTGTGTTTGTATATATATGTGTACATGTGTATGCGCATGTATATATGTGGACGTCTGTATGTATGTGTATGCGGCAAAGCAGGTGCTCTCACACTTGCTCTCGGGTACGCCTACGTGTAACACTGACTGCTTCTTCGTTCCGATTATGATTTCCTGTTGTTGCTGATTCTATTACTTTAGTTGCTGCCGTTTCTATCGCCGTTAAACGCTTTATATTCCTTTATTCTCCTACGTATTACTTTGCTTCGTTATTAACGTAAGTAAAGATTTTTTTTTTTTTTCTTCGAAACGAATTTACGCGTATTTCAAGATTCTCGCGTGTATGCACGTATGTACGGTACGTACGTTTAAACGTAATTTTGTATGTAATTTTTTTTGTTTTTTTTTTCTTTTTTTTTTTTTTTGTTTTTGTTTTCGAAACAATCGACGCAAGGTACAAACGATGGACTTTTCTTTCAAAAAGATCGCGTGGATTTTTTTTTTTTTACTTCTTCTCTTTTTTCTTTTTCTTCTTTCTAATCTGTTCTCTCTCTCTCTCTCTCTCTCTTTCTCCTCACATATCTCTACCTTTTTCAATGATATTTTTCAATTTTTTTTTCTTTTCTTTTTCCTTCAAATAAAGCATAGTTATGTTATTTTATTATATAGAATAGAATGAAATAAGATTTGAGGTTATTTAAGATTTTTTTAATAGATCTCTCGATGGAGATCCGTGGATCTATTTATTCCTTTTTTCTTTCTTTTCTTTTCTTTTCTTTTCTTTTCTTTTTTTTGTTCTTTGTTTCCTCCTTTCTTTTTCTTTCTCAACGAAGCACAGTATTGCGAATTTATTTGCGAAGATCGGCAATGTATGAAAACGTTGAATCGAAGAAAATTTCATTTCTATTATATTTAATATCACTCGATATGAAGAAATCGGATGTAATCGTTGATTCCCGATCAAATTCACGAAATATCCAATCGGCCATATTTTTGTACGTCGAGTTGGACGGCAAATTTTCTTCTTTTTTCTTTTCTCTTTTTTTTTTTTTTTTAAATCGTTCGATCAATCTTTATATCATATCGATCGAATTTTATAGAATTAAATTTTCCTTCAATCTTTTACAATACAAGTATATATATATATATCTACAAATTTAATCATATTGTTACGATAACGTGATATTTATTTATGTATGTATCTATATACATATATACCTATGTATATATATTTAACCATTTATCTACTTGCCTATATAATAATAATTCTTCTCTCCTTTTCATAATATAACATACAGTAGTCAAGTTAAGTGTGCGACACATATGCATGTATGTACGTGTAAGCGTATACGTAACGTTCTCCTCGCGGCATAACTAATTGATCTTTCCAACGCGCTTGAACCCGATAATTAACATTAGCATAAGCGATCTCATGCACAGGGAAATCACGAAGACGATGGCGTAGTTAATAGCGACAATGGTGACGATAAAGTAATAGAAAGAAGTATTAACGTTTCCTTTTCTTTTTTCCTTTTTTTTACTTCGATCATTCTTTCCCCTCTCTAATTTCATGTCTTTCTTTCTTCCTTTCTCTCTCTCTCTTTCTCTTTCTCTTTCTTTTTAACTCTATCTCTTTCTATTTTCATTTTTCTCTCTCTGTCTTCTTCTCCTTCTCTCTTTCTCTTTCTCTCTCTCTCTCTCTCTCTCTATTTGTCTGTCTATCTGTCTGTCTCTATCTCTCTTTCTCTTTATCGTTTTATAAATGTCGAGCAGATATACATATTCGTACGAATAGTAGAAACGTTCGTTCGTTCGTTCGTTCAATTTTGCGTGTCGACGTCGACGCTTCGTCGATTCGAAAGTGACTGCCGGCAGTTATGGAGAGATGAAAACGATACTCCTGGGCTTGTAAATCGAACAACAACGACGTTAATCCCGTTTGATAGGTATTCACGTTGTTCCTTTTTCGTGAGCATTGTTTTGTTTTGTTTTGTTTTGTCATGCTACGTTTTTGTTCTTTATGATCTATTTTTCTTCCCCCTCCCCTCCTCCCTCCCTCCCTCACCCGTTCTTTTTCTTCCTTTCAGTTCGTTTTCTTTTCGAAAGGGATCTAAAAAGAGAGATAGATAAAAATTCGTCGACGTCGTTGGATTGAAAGTTGACGTTTCACTTTCGTCGTTCAACGTTCTTCTTTACATAGTACGTATAACCCCTTCCCCCCGTCTTTCATCCACCAACCCTATCTCGCTTGGCCCATGCGACGATGGGATATATTACGTAGATTGAAAAATACAACGAATGAATATTTTTCCTGAATATGCGATGATTGAAAAAAATTTCCTTTTTCTTTTTTTTCTTAATTTTTTTTTTTCGACACAGATTATTAGAGAAATTAAAAAAAAAAAAAAGAAAAAGAAAAAGAAAACTTTTTTTTTTTATTTACTTTGATCATTTCAATAAATTTCTCCCCTTCCCCCTCCACCCGAAAGATTCGATTTGTTATCTCTTCGATAGGAATAAAAATTCGATGGATATAAAGTAAATAAAAAAAAATAATATAAATTAAATATTCTTGGAGTAATAATTGCAATAAATGCAAATTAATTTTCCTGATCGTTAGTTTAGATTATTAGAGAAAATGATGAAAATTTTTTGTTAATTTTAATCGTATTCGGAAAAAGTGATCTTACATTTTCCGTATATATTTGACGTATATAAACGTAGATGAAAAAGAAAAAAGAAATAAAGTGATGCAAACATTATTCGTGGTATATCGCCTAAATTAAAATTGTTCATTGTTAATTTAGATCAGGGCTTTTGAAACTTCTATACGTCCGAGACCCACTTTTATAAATGATATTTTTTCGCGGCAAATTCCTAATGAACTCTTTCAATGTAAATTACTGTTATATTTTGATATTTAACGTTGATACTTTAAGAATTTCTCATTTAGAATATTAGAGAAATTATCAATTTCGTTTATTTTGATCATTTTACGAGAAAGTAGATTTTATATTCAATCGACATAACGTAAATAAAAAATAATATATATACCTACACATACACACGCACGCATATATATATATATATATATATATATATATATATATATATAATATTGAATTCATAATTATTTTATAATTTATAATTAATAAATAACTACATAAATAAATTACGGCAATATTATATACATATATATTCATCATGGTATGTAAAAAAAAAAAATTGTTCACTATTATCCCCTAAAGCTATTAGAAAATTTTCATTAATTTTATTAATTTTAATTATTATTCCACAAGATTTGAACAAATGATTTTCTTTTCTCTTTTCGATTCAAAAATGAAATCTTCGTTAACAAAGTCAACGTGTCTTTCACATTTTAAACTTTTTTTTAAAAATATCCAAGCACATATGATAGTATTAATATGGAATCGAGCCTGTGCGTAAAACAAAATTGGAAAAAGAAAAGGAAAAAGAAAGAGAAAAGAAAGGAAAAAGAAAATATTACGATCACGACGATGGTTAGATCAAAACGACGATACGTGTATTTTTTTTTCTTCCTTTTTTTTCTTTTTTTTCTTTTTTTTCTTTTTTTTTTTTTTTTTTTTTTTAATATCGATTACACCGAAGGACAACGTTTCGTAACTCGCCGTTGAACGAGTAATTTTCACCGAGTACTTCTACCTACATATGTATATACTTGTACTTTTCACGCTGGCTCTTCACCGCTCTCGAAATTCACGATCCAACAAGAGCTCTCATACGTCGATCTCTCTTTTTTTTTTCTCTCTCTCTCTCTCTCTCTCTCTTTCTCTCTCTTTCTCTCTCTTTCTCTCTCTCTTTCTCTCTCTCTCTCTCTCTCTTTCTCTCTCTCTGTCTCTCTTTCTGTCTGACTTTCGCACCTATTGTACATCATGTGAAGCCATGTGATGGTAAGAATCATTAATGACCTATGACGTCACGATGAACGATCTCGCGACGCTTTAAAACGTATTCATTACTTCGACTTTTTCTTTCTTGTTTTTTTTTTTTTTTCTCTTTTTCTTTATATTTTTTCTTCGCTTCCTCGAAATAAGAAA